CGTCGGCGTCGGCGTCGGGGCAGGGCTTCGGCGTCGGCGTCGGCCGGGGCAGCGCTTCGGCGTCGAGAGAGAGCAGAATGGGAAGTGGCAAAACTGCTAAGTGCAGTATTTATGGACGCACCTTTAGTCGCGGTTGGAGAGGCGGATCGCGACTAAAGGTACCCTTTAGTCGCGGCCCTCCACCCCAACCGCGACTAAAGGGTGCCCTTTAGTCGCGGTCCGCCTCCCCAACCGCGACTAAAGGGTTTTGGCGCCGCCTCCGTTCCCGCGCAGAAAGACCCTTTAGTCGCGGCCCGCCACCCCAACCGCGACTAAAGGTATCCTTTAGTCGCGGTCCGCCTCCCCAACCGCGACTAAAGGGTTTTGGCGCCGCCTCCGTTCCCGCGCAGAAAGACCCTTTAGTCGCGGTCCGCCTCCCCAACCGCGACTAAAGGGCTGTGCTAGAACTGGCGCGGTGCGGTGGGATGTTTAGTCCCACCTCGCTAGCCGAGAGGCTTCGACAGTGGTTTATAAGCGCGGCTGCGCTTACCACTTCGAGCTCCTCTCAAATGCAGGCTTACGGGCCTATTCTGTCACTGTGTGCCTGTGGGCCTACTGGGTCTTCTGCGGGCCTGAATCCTGGCCCTTTAATGGGTTTCTAGTCGTATTCAGGCCGTGGTGGCCCAGTAGGTGGCATATTTTCTTTTTTTCTTCCTTTTTTCCTTTTTCCTTTTTTCTTATGTTTTTCTTCTGTTTGTTTTTTTCTTCTGTTTTTCCTTTTTTCTTCTGTTTTTTTCTTCTGTTTTTTCTTCCTTTTTCTTCTGTTTTTTTCTTCCTTTTTCCTTTTTCCTTTTTTCTTCTGTTTTTTTCTTCTGTTTTTCCTTTTTTCTTATGTTTTTCTTCTGTTTGCTTTTTTCTTCTGTTTTTTTCTTCTGTTTTTTTCTTCATTTTCAAATCTTAAAAATACAATTATATATCAAAAAAATCAGAAAAATAAAACTAATTCATTTTAAAACCCCTTGAAGGTTTGACAAAAGGTTTGATACAATAAATTATTACACATCATTTCTTCCCTTGTGTCCCTGCTTGCTTACGATTGTGCCGTATCCATGGAGCATCCTCATCATTTAACTTAATGCTTGGGTCGGTGTTCACTTTGAAGGGCGGAATTTCAGCAAACATATTATAATCTTCTGACATGTCTGTCTTGTCCTCCACTCCCACGATGTTTCTTTTCCCTGAAAGAACAATGTGGCGCTTTGGATCATCGCATGATGCATTGATCGTTTTCTTATCTTTCCGTTTCCTCGGTTTGCTACTCATGTCCTTCACATAGAAAACCTGAGCGACATCTTTCGCTAGGACGAATGGTTCGTCAAGGTAACCAAGATTGTTGAAATCCACCATTGTCATTCCGTATTGCTGGTCCACCTTTACCCCACCTCCTGTTAGCTTGAACCATTTGCACCGGAACAAAGGGACCTTAAAGGAGGGTCCATAGTCAAGTTCCCATATCTCCTCTATGTAACCATAATATGTGACCTTTTGCCCATTCTCGGTTGCTGCATCAAAGCGGACACCACTGTTTTGGTTGGTGCTCTTTTTATCTTGGGCGATCGTGTAAAATGTATTCCCATTTATCTCGTACCCTTGGAAAGTCGTTATAGTCGAAGATGGTGTCTTGGCCAACATGTACAGCTGATCTACAACATCATTGTCATTCATTAAATGTTTTTTCAACCAACTGCCGAAAGTCTCCATGTGGGCCTTCCTAATCCAGGATTCAGGCTTCCCCGGGTTGTCCGAGCGTAAAATATTCTTGTGTTTCTCAAAGTACGGAGCCACCAAGCTGGAATTGGTCAGTACAGTGTGGTGTGCTTCAGTCAGAGAATGGCCGTCCATACATATCGTTGATTTCCTTCCGATCGTGCCTTTTCCACTTAGTCTCCCCTCGTGCCAAGATCGTGCCTTTTCTTCTTCCACATGGCTGCGTGCCCGTCAGCTCCCTTCGGAACTGATTGTCCGCCAGGACCCTTTCCAAAGATGACTTTCAAATCCTTGACCATATCAAATACCTCAGCACCAGTGCGTTCCGCAGGCTTCGGCCGGTGATCTGCCTTGCCGTTGTAATGCTTGCCTTTCTTTCTTACTGGATGAATTTTCGGAAGAAATCGACGATGCCCAAGGTACACGTTCTTCTTACAATTTGGCAAATGTACACTTTCAGTCTCATGTAAGCAGTGCGTGCATGCATTGTATCCCTTATTTGACAGTCCCGAAAGGTTACTAAGAGCAGGCCAATCGTTGATGGTTACGAAAAGCAACGCTCGTAGGTCAAATTCCTCTTGTTTGTGCTCATCCCACACACGGACACCACCCCACAGCTGTAAAAGTTCATCAACTAATGGCCTTAGGTACACATCGATGTCGTTGCCGGGTTGCTTCGGACCTTGGATGAGCACTGGCATCATAATGAACTTCCGCTTCATGCACAACCAAGGAGGAAGGTTGTAGATGCATAGAGTCACGGGCCAGGTGCTATGGCTGGAGCTCTGCTCGCCAAAAGGATTCATGCCATCCGTACTTAGAGCAAATCTTATGTTCCTTGCGTCAGCTGCAAAATCTTTGAACCATCTGTCGATCTTTCTCCATTGCGTCCCATCTGCGGTGTGTCTCAACTCCCCGTCCGACTTACGGTCCTCTTTGTGCCATCGCAACAACTTGGCATGCTCTTTGTTCCTGAACAGACGTTTCAACCGTGGTATTATAGGAGCATACCACATCACCTTGGCGGGAACCCTCTTCCTGGGTTTCTGGCCCTCAACATCGTCACCAGGGTCATCGCCTCTGATCTTATAACGCAATGCAGTGCATACCGGGCATTCATTCAAATTCTCGTATTCACCGCGGTAGAGGATGCAGTCGTTGATGCATGCATGTATCTTCAGAACCTCTAAACCTAGAGGGCAGACAACCTTCTTTGCTTCGTACGTACTGGCGGGCAACTCGTTATCCTTTGGAAACATATTCTTCAACATTTTCAGCAAGTTTTCAAATGCCGAGTCAGCTACACCTGCCTCTGCCTTCCATTTCAGCAAATCCAGTGTGCAGCCCAGCTTTTTCAGACCATCATCGCATCCGGGGTACAGCGCCTTTCTGTGATCCTCTAACATGCGATCCAAATTCTCCCTCTCCTTCTCAGTTTCGCAGCGTCTCCGTGCATCAGCAATGGTCCGACCAAGATCATCAACGGGATCATCACGTGCCTCTTCTTCACCTTCCCCTTCACCTTCAGCATCCTCCATGAAAGTATCACCGAAATGAGCAAGATAGCTTTCATCGATGAAATCATCCCCTTCTTCATCTTCTTCCATTATAACCCCTCTTTCTCCATGCTTGGTCCAACAATTATAGCTTGGCATGAAACCGTGCCGAAGCAGATGCATGTGAACATCTCTTGAGGAAGAGTAACCCTTCTGATTCTTACAGATAACACATGGACAGATAACAAAACCCCCCTGCTTGTTCGCATTAGCCACTACGAGGAAATCTTTCAAACCCGTAGTGAACTCGCCGGAGAGTCGGTTACCGTACATCCATTGCCGATTCATCTGCATTATTATAATATAAAATATATAATTAACCATCATGCATTTGTTGAACTAACTAGCTACAAACAATATAAATTAAACAATGAACTGCACACATGCATATTTTATCAATGACACACATGCATGAAAGGTTCAAGTTGCTAACCGCGATCGAGGAGGAAAAAATAAATGAGGAACCTCAAGTGTGGCTCCAACACTTCATATCATGTTTGTTTCACCCTCTTAGGGTATTTCATCAAACACCTTGTGTGCATAAGAGGAACCAAAAGCAAACCTACACCCCCTTGTGAAGCTTGTGAAGAGAAGTGGCACCAAATGGCTAAGTGAGTGTGCTGAACTGGTATATATAGGGGAGGAGCTTTAGTCGCGGTTGGCCTGGACAACCGCGACTAAAGGCCTTTGCGCACCTTTAGTCGCGGTTGGCCTGGCCAACCGCGACTAAAGCCCCTCACGTGCACCAGCTGGCCACCGAGCGCCCTGGGCCCAGGCCTTTGGTCGCGGTTCGTCTGCCGAACCGCGACTAAAGACCTCATTAGTCGCGGTTCCTACAGTTTCGCGACTAATGGGGCTGGACGGAAGCCTCTTTTTCTACCAGTGCCTGTGGCGTTCGTCGTCCTCCTCGACAGGTTCCCGACGTATAAGGGAAAGTTTATCAGCGTGACGACGTTCGTCTCGGGCCCCGGCGACCCCACGGAGCGCGGCAGCAACCGCTTTGCCACCGTCGAGGTTGGCACGGTGAAGTCGTACGCCCCGGAGTCTCCACGCGTGGGCCTCAACGTCACCGTCACGCCCAGCGGCGCGACGCCGATGGTGACCGTGTGGATCGACTACCATGCCGTGCTGTCCCGCCTCGGAGTCTTCGTCGCCCCCACCGGCCGGACTAAGCCCCGCGAGCAGCTCGTCGGCGACTCGGCCGTCAACTTGACGGGTCGCACCAACCAGTCCGCGTTCGTCGGCTTCTCGGCCTCCAGGGTGGCCTATGTCCTCTCCGGCGTCCGCGGCTGGGATCTAACGGTGGAGAGGCTCTCGCCGGCCGCCGAGAAGGATGATAATAAGAAGTCATGGCTGGTGATACTGCTCGCCGTTCTAGGATCTGTGGCTTCCACGGCTGCCGTGGCCGCCGCCGTCGGTTTTTACTACAACTCCAGGTACAGGAGGTGGAAGAAGGACCTGGAGCAGCTGGCCAAGTCCATGCAACGACTCCCGGGGATGCCATGCCGGATCGACTTCTCCGACATTAAGAAGGCCACGAAGAACTTCGACGGCACAATGAAGTTGGGATCGGGAACCTTTGGCTCCGTGTACAGATGCAGGCTTCCTGCAGCACCAGAGACGGGCCGTCCAGAAATGGAGGTGGCCGTCAAGAAGTTCACGCGAAACGACAACCGCCGCTTCGACGACTTCCTGGAGGAGGTCAGCGTCATCAACCGTCTGCGCCACAAGAACATCGTCCCTCTCATCGGTACGTAGCCACGTGCACACTTTAACATTTCTTTAGAGCATCTCCAACAGATGCATGATAGCGCGGCGCGTTAAAAAATATTTACAGTGTCGAAATAGCATTTTTGCACGTGTAGGAGGGTGATTGCTTTACTAGGCACTGCAAAATTTAGCATGCCGCTATAGCGCTTCGTTAGACGCGGAAAAATCCTGCATGCGACTAGCCGGTGCTTGGAAACAACACATACAAAAAAATGAAATAATACATAGTTCAAATTCATAGCATAGTTTCCCAAATCACAAGCCAGTTCATACTATGCTAAATAAAAATAGATAAAGCGATGCTAAATCAAACTAGTCCTCGTCCTCCTCGATGGTGTAGTCCGACGATGTAAACACGTCGAGCCACTGAGCTGCTCCGGGGGCGTGGCGGTATGGCGGGGCGCTGGAAGAGACGGAGGAGAAGGCGCGGCGGCGGGGCGGCAGAAGAGGCGAGGAAGAAGGCGCGGCAGGAGGGAAAGCATGGCAGTTGGCGGGCATCCGCGCGCGGCTTTTAATCAGCGCAACCTCTCACACGTCAAATTGGCGGTTTATCCAGTGCGTAGGATATTTCACACGCTTGTTGAGGATGCTCTTATTTATATATATTTTCCTTCTTGAATGGCTTTGTCTAGGGAAGGTATTGTGCACCGGACGAAAAACATGGATACCGTCCGCTGTGCTTTTGGCTACCACACAAGGAAAATATGTAGAAAAACCATTTTTTTTATTTTCTTGAATCTGTTGAATGCACGTATAGTTAAATAATACGGAAACTCTCAGAGTAATAAGCAGTAAAATGGTGTAGTGATAAATGGTAAATATGTACTCCCTTCGTTTCTAAATATTTGTCTTTCTAGAGATTTCAATAAGTAACTATATACAAAACAAAATGAGTGAATCTACACTCTAAAATATGTCTACATACATAGGGGCAGACCTACGTAGGAGCTATCGGTGTCACAGGACACCGGGTAATTGGTCCGATTACGTTATATTTATAGCCCATGTAGGCGTGTGACACTGGTAAAATTTGTTGTTGGACACCGGGAGAAGCCGCCAGCGACTGAGCGCTCGCGCAACCCATTTAGTAATAGCCCATATCCAGCCCATCTGATCGATCGACCTAAAGAAAATCTGATCAATTGATCCGCTTTGTGTGTATCTGCGCATATTGCCTTCTGCTTTCTCGCCTCCTCTCCCGTGAAACCTTATGGCCTCGTCCTTGTCCTATAGGACAACCCATGGCTCACCATGGCATGGCGGCACGCTGACTTTTTCCTTGGTGGAGAAAATATTAAGGGAAGGTAACTCCCTCATCTTTTTGAAGTCCAAACCTCGGCTAGGGTTTTGAACCACAAAGGTCTTACAATTGAGAATTAGGTTACGGTACTTATCCAAATTTGAGGAGTGTTTCCCATCTGTTTGATAATTGAATTACTATGATATTCCAAACTTTTATTGTGATTCACATCTACTTGAGAATTGGATTACTGTGATTTTTCAGGTTATCATGGTGATTTTCCAATTTACCAATCATCTTTGTTTCCTTAATTTGAATTTTTCTACGTATATAATCAACTAGTATTTCTAGTTAAACACTTCATTCTGCTATTTTGGCAAGCATTTTTACTACTGACCGTTTTAAACTGTTGAGTGTTATTTTTATGCAAATCATGTACTACAAGTATGATTGTAAATTGTCTGCTAAATCTTTATGATAGCGCCGCAATTGCTGTAGGGAGCCTTGGACCTCGGCACTACAATGTGGTAACCGTTGTGAAATTCAGCAAAAACATCCAAATATCATCTATCCCCGATGAAAAATTACCCACTATAGCTGCTGAGAGAGTCCGCCCCATTTTTTTCTTCCTCGAATAAAAGCAATCACTACATGGGACACCAGGACATTTTCGTCCTGGGTCCGACCCTGTACATACATCCGTATGTTGCAGTCCATTTGAAATGTCTAAAAAGACAAATATTTAGGAATGGAGGGAGTAAAAGGTTAAAGGCCAGTTGGGGGATTGAACTCACATGCTCAAAACGTTAAGGACACGTGCGGAGGACTGCCACTGCGTTGGTAGCGAGTTTGGAAACAATATGAGTTTAATACAAATAAATGCCTACCTCAATAAAAATTGAATTCAAATTTAGTTAGATTTTTTGAGCATATTTGTTTGGTATTTTCTGGTATCTGCGGTAACCGCATTTCTCGCCCCATCTCGGTAATTCTTTGGATTTCGGAAGCCAAACCTAGGAGTATCATTTTTTCGTTGTCCAGTCGTTATTGTAGGGTTTGTGGTAGGTTCACGTTGAATGGTACTTCCTCCATTCCATAATCTAGTATGTCCGCGCTTTTCGAGATCTAAGTTTGATCATACATTTAACCAACGAGACCGACTGCGGCGGGAGTAAAAATCAAATTCAGTAGTATAATTTCTGCTGCCTCCACGGTCGGTCTCGTTGGTTAAATTTATGATCAAACTTTGATCTCGGGAAATGCGGGCGCATTACATTGTGGAAAGGAGGGAGTATCAGGTTTTCTATCATCTTTCTGTTGTAAGTCAATTTGTTCAGTACTGATGCTGAGTTTTGCATATCATCATTGAATAATCAATAGTATATGATTGTGTGCTCCTCTCCGGAAAAAAGAACTGGGGTTGAAGATTTTTTCTTGCTAGCCTGAAATTAGAAATTCCTCTATTTGATGAATGTACCATAACATGACAGGATTCATATTTGAAACTTTTAGGGTATCCTGGGACCCTCTTTATTAAAAACACCTAAATTTGCAGAAATATGTGTTTTTGACAATTTAGTTTATTTAATTTAACTAAGAAAGGTCTGAAGTACCCTAAAGGTTTCAAATTTGCAGCCCTAATCACTATGCATATTTACAAATAACCAGTTTGCTTCACTTTGTAGCAACTCTTTTTTTAAGGGTTCACTTTGTAACAACTTAATATTGCAGGTTGGTCTTACCATGGAGGGGAGCCCCTCCTCATCTTTGAGCTCATGCCCAATGGCAGCTTGGACCAACATCTCTTCCATCTAAAAACACCAATTCTCCTATGGGACACCCGCTATGCCATCGTGAGGGATATAGCCACCGGCTTGCACTACGTACATCATGAGTATGAGCCCGCGGTTCTTCATCGTGACATCAAGGCGAGCAACATCATGCTCGATTCTACCTTTGGTGCCCGCCTGGGTGACTTCGGCATTGCCTGCACGGTCCCTCTCGACCGTAACTCCGTGACCGGCCTAGCCGGGACACAAGGCTACATAGCGCCGGAGTATGCCTGTAGCTACAGAGCTACGAGGGAGACTGACATCTACACGTTCGGTGTCGTCGTCCTCGAGACCGTGACCGGTAGACGGGCGCTCGACAGGGATGTCCCGTCTGAAGGTCACATAACGGACTGGATATGGCGTTTCCATTGGGAGGGAAAGTTGCTCGATGCCATGGATCCCGTGCTTGCCATTGCGGGGTTCGACGATGATGATGCCAAACGCCTAATGCTGCTTGGCTTGGCATGCACCAACCCAAACCCATCGAACCGGCCAAGCATGCTAGAAGTGGTGCAGGTTATCACCAAGTTAAAGCTACCGCCGGCCGTGCCTCCTAAGAAACCAACGTTTGTGTGGCCTCCACAAGGATGGAGTTCATATAACTCTTACTTTAGCACAGAGACAAGTACAATTTATGCAAGTGGCTCATTAACCAAGGCCAGACAGGTGTAGGGAACATTTCAAAAATACTACTTTAAAATTTGCTTATTTGTTCACACTTCACCTAGATGAATATGTGCTTGTTTTGGAGTGTAACACGTGACCCTGGCTATCATAAGTTAAGACTTTTGAATGTGTTGGCAATTCAATATGACATCAAAGTGAAAGCAAAGAGGACTTGAGTGCAAATGCAACAAACACAATATATCAATCACCTAACTGAGTGAAGCAACTAAGGTAATGTTTGGTATTGCCGTGGATTATGATTTTGTTTGCACAAATAATTTTTACCTATCTTAGTGTTTGTTTGACATGCTTTGCTTCGACAATTGTCAATGTTAAGTTTGGCTAGTCCTGAAACACTAACCTTTGATATAGATGCGCATACAACTCGGTAATGTTGTGTGGATGGAGGATTTTAAAGAGATTAAAGTCATCTATGACACTCTTGTTAAACTTTTTTGAATTTTAATTCACATATCAGCATCAAGTGATATAAGTCTTGAGTATGAATACGACGCTCTTGCGCTTTTTCTCTTTTACTGTGACAACATCTAAGGTGTGGACCAAATCTACTTGGACGAACTTAGCTTACATATGTTTGCAGTGCCTCTGCTTACTCCTTCGGATCGTACCCTAGCACTTTTCTTCTTTGATTTAAGGGAAAGGTGTGGTAGAAACCAGGAACACTGAAACCCTCTTATCTAGCCAGCCATTTGCTGCATCACGGTCCATGCATGAGCTTTTCTCTTTTTTGTTTCTCTAAATATTATTTTAGTTGAGAAAAAAATCATGTAGTAAGTTAGTTGACTAGCACATATCTTAAAGCAATGGTGAAGGATAAGGATAAAGGCTACAATGTGCTTGGGCTTAGAGAAACAACTCTCTTGACTGAAATCTTGTGTTTGCCCTCTTGATTCAGTCTGAATGCCATATGATGGAGCATGGAATTCGGAATGCACAAACCATCCCGTCAACTAGAATTTCTTTGAATAGGCCCTTGGCACATAGTACAACATAGGGTGCTAGGGGTGAACGCTACGGTTTATATCCTTCCTGGTTGGTAGCTAAGCTAACTAATCCTGATGCCTACAGGCATCGATGCAACATGTGGAGGCGGCTGTTGGAAATATGCCCTAGAGGCAATAATAAAATGGTTGTTATTATATTTCCTTGTTCATGATAATTGTCTATTGTTCATGCTATAATTGTATTAACCGGAAACTGTAATACATGTGTGAGTACATACACCACAA